CCCATCTATCGCATCTCCCCTGCCTACCTGGCCTACCCCGTCTACCCCGTCTACCCTGTCTACCTTGTCTATCCCGTCCACCCCATTCAGAAATTTCATTAAAGCTCAAAGTAAACTTTTCATTGTGGAGGTTGTCCGTTCATGTCAAACTTTACCCCGATCAATAAATTATAAAAAAGTAGAAAATGGATCCTATATCGGAATGAAAATAATCAAAAGTCTACATCTTTTTTTTCATTGTGTGCACCGTGCAGGTGTGGGGGGGGGGGGTTATTTCACATAAAATATTTGTTCAAATCGTTAATGTTTAGAAAAAAAGATTCTTAAAGGGAACGTCCACGAAATTTTAAACCACTTTCTGAAAAACAATTATGAACATCCTCGTCTTATAACGTTGTCAAATCTGACAATGACTGCCAAGTTCAGTCATTGTCTCTCAAGCATAAATTTGCAATTCAACTTTATATAATAACTTTTAACTATAATAGATAAAAAAAATCCCACCAAAAAAATGGGAATCGGATATTCTATTATTTTTTTTTTCAAATAGATGATAAGGATTGACATTACAAAAAACAGTGAAATATGATTGTACTCTTTATTACAATATGATACAAAATCATAGCTTAAGATCAAAGACAAAAATCATTCAAAAGATTTTTTGGTCTTCCCGAACATTAAAGGGAGTGTCCGGCAATGTATGGTAGTTGAACTGAGAATGCAACATTGTGGAGAATATTTTTAGGTTCATTTGAAACGTATAAAATATTTTAATGATGTATAAATACTAAGATTGAGCGCAAAGTCGACTTTCAAAATCATCCAATTGGGTGAATACGTTTTGAGAATCGATTTCAAAAAAAATTTAAATAACGACGACAAAAAACTAAATAGTTGTTTAGGAACTGGTTGAGAAAATGAAATTCTTATTATCAAAAATATTCAGTGATAAGATTTTGTAATCTCTCATTGCTCACAAACATTTTCTTTAGATGTTCTTGCATTTTTATTGAAGAAACGACTTTTGAAGACTTTGTAGAAATCTGCGAACAAATTTGTTAAAAATAAGAAATTCAATGAAATGATGAAAAAGAAATAATTAATTCTAAGGTTCATTTATTGACACATTTCTATTGAGAAATATGTTCCTAAACATCTAATTAGTTTACTGTAAAATTTTTGATTTATGTTTCGTCTTCGTTAATTAATATATTAAAAAATTCTCAAAACGTAACATCTCTGATGGATGTTTTGAACGTCGGCTTTACGCTCAAACTCAGTATTTTTATATCATTAAAACGTTTTATGTGTCTCAAATGGATCCTAACAAAATTCTTCACAATACTACATTCTCAGTTCAAATACCATGCATTGCAGGTCACTCCCTTTAATACGACAGTGCAATGCGGTATTATATATAGAAAAGTTTGAGCTGAAAATACAAAAATCATGTTTGTAAAACATTGCAGAACTAACAGTTTGCTTTACATTTCATAATGGCAAAAGTTACTTTCCTGAATGGGGTTGTTTGGTTGGAATGAAACATTTCTACAGACTCCATTTTTTATTTAAATACAAGAATTAAATATATTAAGTTAGGAGAATATTTACTTCAGTGCTAATAGAATGAAAGGGTGTCGATTGTTACCTTGATGGACTAATAGTAATATTATCATCACTCGAAATATTAATAGATTTGAATAACAAAACAGCAATTAGTACTGAAGACATTCTTGCAAGGTAAAGTGAAATTATTCGCCAACTCAAGCACAACAAATACATCAAATTATATCGATGATTTAATATCAAAATCAAATATGATAAAATCATTAAAACCCATTAAAAATTGAATAAAATGGAGGCAACACCAAATGTTTTTGATTGATTGAATTATTTACAGGAAATTAAGCCGTAAAAAAATTTTGAAATTTACTAGAGGGTTAAATGTAATTTAGTTCTTGTCATAAACAATTTTTTGTTTAAATTCTTATATATTTGCAACCTGATGGTACAGAAACCTTTTATTCACAGTTATGAAGAAGGCAAAGTTTTCAGTAGCATATAGAATTAATTAACATTTTTGTTCTTCTTTGACGTTCTTTTATATAATAGAACTTATTTTCATTTCAAAATAGTGAAACCATCCCTTTAAACGAGGAAACATGTATGTTTCGTGTTGTTTTTTATAGAAAATATATAGATAATATAATATAATATAATATATAGAAAATAATATATATTTGTGGTTAGTTATCCAGCTGGAGGCCTCTTTGATTTATTTGTGGATTTTCTTTGATAAAAATTACACAATAAATTGTGAAGGTTGGGACCCTAGGTCAGTTCCTAACTGTAATATACAGGATATCCCAGTCTTTAAATCCAACAGATCATATTTGTTCCATTGGAAAAAATGAAAAAGAGAGAAAATAATTTTATTTTACAAATACATTTTGACACATTAGAATTACTTACTGACGCCCAAAGAACTTTATCAAAATTTAGATCTCTAAAGATGTGATCTGCATGGATAAATTGTATCTAATACAATAGTTAAAATTCTCTTCATGTACAAGAAACTGATCTAAGGGTGTTCCGACCTAACATTGTATTTAAAGGGACTGTAAAGGAAAAATGAAATGGGGTGTAGGCTGAAACCCGAGAATCTCAGGCGTTGAACGATACCTATAAGACATAGTGTGCCTGTTTCGAGAAATTGATATAAAACTGTATTAAAATTATACCAATACTTATATATATCAGATGTTGTATAAGAGTTGTAGTATTAAACAGATTATATTCAACAAATATGCAACCAATTTGAAAACAACTATATCTAACAAGAGCCTGAGAATCTCAGATTTTTATTTTGCACTTTTATAATTGATAATAATATTACACATAGTCTGAATAGTTCGTATTACGTCACCAAAAGTAAAGCCAATGGATGTGCAGTATACTGCTCACGTGATACAGACGGAAATCACGTGACCACTATACTGCACTGCCATTTAAAAAAATTCAAGCAACTATATTTGTTACTAACAGAGGCCCAGACAGACAGCTATTGGTTAGCTGTCAAGCTGTTATGCCATCTATACAAGGAGAACAGATACCTTTAGGTAAATATTATTATTCAACAGACAGACAGCTAGTGATTAGCTGTCTAGCTGTTATGCCAGCTATACAAGGAGAACAGATACCTTTAGGTAAATATTATTATTTAACACACAGACAGCTAGTGGTCTGCTGTCTAGCTGTTATGCCAGCTATACAAGGAGAACAGATACCTTTAGGTAAATATTATTATTTAACACACAGACAGCCAGTGGTCTGCTGTCTAGCTGTTATGCCAGCTATACAAGGAAAACAGATACCTTTAGGTAAATATTATTATTCAACACACAAACAGCTAGTGGTCTGCTGTCAATTATTTCAAATCTTTTGAATATTTAAAAAGTCTGGTCAGTGTTAAAAAATTTAATGTACCCCATAAATGTTTTGTGACTAAAATTATAGTTCTTAAATCATATTTTTGATAAGCCATTGACAAATGGGTGTACTGCATGCATATTTTAATAATAATGGGTGTACTGCATGCATATTTTAATAATAATATATTTAGAGAGAACTCTCGTCCTTGGTAGACTGTTGCAATCTGCCTGGAGCTACCAGGAGGGCTGGTCAACTAGCCCAGCTGCTCAATTTACTAGGAATATAATCATGTTTTAGATATACTAACTGTAGTGCCCGGCGTTGCCCGTTGAATTAAAATAATTGCAGACATTTATTTAAAATTTTTGATTTTTGAATAAAAAAAAATAAAAATTTTGAAAATTTTTCAAATTCTTTTAGCCTATTTTACTCCTCTGATATCCATGGGTTTCATCAAAAATGTCAGCCCGTTCAGTCCAGCCGTTTGGCTAGCTATAGCTGACTTATATAAATGAGCGAAGAGCTTTATTTTATAGAAGATTGATATAATTAAAATATCTAAAAGAAAATCAAAGAATTCACCCTTCATTTAATTGAAATGTCCCATTTGCATCTTTTAGATCTTTGATTGATGAAGCTTTAATAAAATATGCTCACAGATTTCTACTACAGAAACAATGCACGAAATTGCCAGAATAAAACACTATTTAGCTAAACAAGTTGACATTATTTAATCAGATGAAAGTTTGAAGGGTACTTCTGTGAATGGAAGATTACTTAAAATTATAATGATAGTGCTTTTAACCCTCAACGGCTGGATTTTTACTTTTTATTACATTTATTTATTAACACTGCCTAAAACTTAATCCCTTTACAACAACAAAAATTGAGCTTTTTAATTGATCTGCCATTTTTCCAAAGTAAGAGTGCGCTTTGCGTTAACAATTTTGCATAACGAATAATGATTATATATATAGACCAAGTTGGAGATTATCAATCATTCAAGTTCTCTCAGCAGTCATCCAGCTTCATAAATACATTTATTAATCCTTTATATTTAAATACAGTCATGTATTAATATATATAATGCAGACGACTTTCGATTTTATTTTTTAATTTATACCAAGCGTTCAAACAGTACTGTTATAACACAAATATCATGGAAACAAAGAGAAACTGTCAATAAACAGTTTCTCAAGGTTTACTTGTAATTTGAAAAAAAAGCTTGTTTGGAATTAAAACTGAAATGGTAAAGTCGTCTTCATTATATTGATATAAACGTTGTACATTGCATATTCCTGTTAAATTATCAAAACTTTAAAAATTTATCCTTTCACCAGACCTGATACCTTTGCAATTATTCATTTTTTTATTCTTGGCATTTTTTTCTACATATCAATTAACTATAGATTTATTGTTAAGACTAGGGTTCCAGTTCCAATAATGATAAAGAACTTAAGAAAAATGATGTAGGAAAATTTTAAAGAACATTTTTTTCATAAAGGTGTTCAAAACAATTTCTTATTTTAAAACGTGTTAAGATTACACAATTTATAGGAACTGAGTCTTTGCCACAAACTCTGGTTTTCTCAGCCCTATATCTTTGCAACCCAATGTCGTAGACCTTAGATATTTCAAACTATAAAGGAATTGAGTTTTTGTCACAAACTCTGATTTTCAAATTTCAATATCGTTGCAACCCAATGTTGTAGATCTTTAATATTTCAAACTATGAATGCTATTAGATCAAATAATGTAAGTTTGAAATATCAAAGGTTTACATCATAAGGTTGCAAAGATATAGGTTTTACAAAAACTGAATTTGTGGCCAAGAATCAATTCCTTTTGATAGATCAAATAATCTAAGTTTGAAATATGTAAGGTTAACATCATCATGTTGCAAAGATTTAGGTTTCAGAAAATAAGAGTTTGTGGCTAAAACTCAATTCATTTGCAATTATCATTAAAAAAATATTGCATAAATACAGTTCTCTAACTTACAGAATATTTTCATTGTAAATTACTTTAAAAATAAATTGTTAAATAAAGACGTATCTTTTGTGAAAAATTTATTACTTTTTCAATAAGTAAATAAGGAAGTAAGTAATTATCTGTTCATAAAATATAACAAGGAAAAAGACAAACTTAAGTGTTTAAGGAGAAAATATTTAAAGATAGAGGTTGTGGGAATATTTCCCCCGATTAAAAAAAATAAGGAGATGGAAAGTAAAATATTCATATTACATTTACAATATATAACCGGTGGTTGGTTATTAACATTATTCGAAGAGGAACTAATAACTTTTAGAAATAAAATTTTAATTTAATTTTAATGTTGAAAAAATTAAATATTGCTTTGCAAAGTAAAAGAATCCAGACAACCCTAGTTATATTCAGTTGTTTAGATTCTACAAAAGTTTTAAATTGTTCATCTCTAAACTAACTTTAATTTATAATGCTTTGAAGTTATACCTTGCTGTTTTCGAGATTCAAACTGGAATGATCAAATATTTATAGAAAAGTTGCAAAATTTACAAGGTTTTAGATTTCTTAAATTCTTGAATTTAACAATTCAAAAACTATCAGTTTATTTTTAAGAAACAAAAACCATCAAAAATGCGGTGTTAAAATGCATTCAATATGTTAAAACAAACAAAACCCTTCGCTGTTTTTTTGCATACATATAATTCTATCTTGGATATTTCGATTTTAAACTATTTGATCTAACAGAATTCATAGTTTGAAATGTCTAAGGTTTACTACAATTGGTTGCAATGACATAGGATTTAAAAATCCGAGTTTGTGGCAAAATATATTTTTTCTTGAAGCTACTTTTTCTATGATATTTATGCTAAAGGTTATGTTAGAAGTTTTTTGCAGTAAAGTTATAGAAGACATTTTTATTTAAATATATTTAAATTTTATGTAAGAAGAGAAATAGTGTGAAATATGCAGATGAATAACAAATTTATCTTTGTTTCGTTTAAAATTTTCTTTAAAAGAAATTCAGCTATAAATAGTTTCAACATTTTCCTCCGTTCTGAAAATATTTAATATTAATTTTGGACAAAAACCTTTGTTTTGTCTGCCAATTTTTTTATGCCTTCTTAAAGGAACTCTACGCTTAATTTAGAGGGAGTGACAGCAATCATCAAAAATAGGAATTTCCCAAAAACCCAGGGATTTGGGAAATTTCAAGGTATCTGAGAAACTTACCAAGTACCTATAGATATTTGAGAGCGGTATATTTTTAATATTTTGGAGATTTCTCAAATGACTGGAAATTTCCAAGATACCCAGACATTTGGGAAATTGCCCGAAAACCCAGGCATTTGGGAAACTTCCCAAATATCCAGTCATTTGAGAAATTTTCAAAATCTTAAACATACCACCCTAAAATACCGAAAGGAATTTGGGAAATTTCCCAAATGCCTATTTTAATAAAAAATGTAAATGCTGTCGTGTCATTCTAAATTTAAGTGACCATTTATTTGTAGGGAAGTATGTCCGATTTATAACGGTACTCTTTAAATATTGACCATGCTGATAATGGATGACAGGCTTACTCTTTTGTATCTTTTAATTGTTAAACACTTTGTGTAAGAGTAAGATGATTTTTAGTAAAAAAAATATTAATTTTTACCAGCTAAGAGTCGCAAAAAACAAATATTCCCATTCGAAATGTTAAAAATTGCTTTTTGCACAGAATAATCTGGATTGTCAAAAATTACATGTAAAATCATTTGAATACACTAGCGTACACACACTATGGTCTCACAGACACTATGGTTTTACACATACTAAGGTTTTACACACTCTATGGTTTTGCTTTTAAACACACTAAGACATTTTAAATGGTACCGTTCTTTATCGGACATTTTCTGCTTTGCATTTATAGTCACTTGAATTCAAGGTTACAGTCCGTTAAAAAACATTTTCTGAAACTATTGTGAAATTTATCATTCATATTCATTTCATGGTGAATTTTATTTTTGACGTGTTATAAAGTTAAATTAAACGTATATTGAAGCGCTGTGCTTTACTGAAATAATCCTGATGTAAGGTAAAATTAGCTGTATATAATAGCACCGTTAACAACATATTATATCAAGAAATATGAAGTATTAAGAACAAGTATACAAACATTTTATAAAATGACGTGTTATAACAACATTTTTAGACTAAAACTTCTTCATTTTCTTAATGTAAACTCACAATAATTTAAATTTTTAGCAATATTTCTTTCTTAAAATGGATGAGACAAGATGAAAAAATGCTTTTCACAGATCTTGTATCAATGAAATTAATTATTCCAGTAGATGTTCTAGCAAGTCTCTTTGAAACACCAAGATATATCTAGTTTCTTCATAGAACAAGAACTTTGATAAGTAATTTTATTGGGAAATTAATTATCAAACCTGCTTAATGCTATTCCTGCTGGGGGGGGGTGTCAAATTGACCCCCCCAGCATATCCTGGTTTTCAAGTACCCCAGCAGAGATAGGGTTAATCTTATATATATTGATAATAAAAATATAAATAAGAATATTTTTCTTTTTTATAGCAAATTAAGAAATTTAACATGCGCATTCCAATATATATTCTTGGATGGTAGTAAACTGTATTTCAAAGTTTGACATATCAAAAGTTTACATCATAAGTTTTCAATAATTTTTTAATCCTTATATCTTGGAAAACTGATGTTGTTGACCTTACTTATTTCAAACATGTATCCATTCATCTGGTAGAATTTATAGCATGCAATGTTAAAGGTCTACATTATCAAGTAGATTGTGAATAGTGTTTAGATCTGTAAGACTTCTTGATTTAATAATAAAAAATGCTTGGTACACACATGTTTTAATTATGAAACCAAACAAATTTGCTTTGAAAATGTTTTTTTTAAGTTGAGACTTTTACAGATTCTGTTTGGAAAAACAATTTTGCAAAAAATTAAAAAATTTGTGTTTATCAAAAATATCACCATTATTGATAAACCACAGAATGCATCAATTTGTATTTTTTTAAGGTAGCTAAGCGTCATTTTCATTTTAATCGTTTTAACATCAACAGCGGGGAAATCTGGTTTTTTTCGCTAAAATATTATTGTAAACGTTAAAGAATAATGAAAAGTGCCCTTTCTGTGTGTTTTTTCTTTCTTTTTATTAAACATAACGAGGACAACAATTCCCAATTTAAAAATTAAAAAAAAAATCAAAATAAGAATAGAAGTTCTTTAATAGTAAATCTCTTGACCGTTTTCAAGACATGCAATGTCAGGTTTTCCATTTTCGAACATATCCTGAATTTGAAACATTGTCGCGTTTTCGAGACAAAACCCACTCTCCCGTTTTTGAGTATAATCCACAATTCAAAACAAAACTCACTTTCATAGCTTACAAAATAAATCACTGAAAACAAAAAAAATCTAATGAAGACTAAATTAACTTCTGAATTATTTCTAGAATCTAAGTTTCCATATTTTATTTGTTAAATTAGAGAACATCGATGATTTATTTTGTTTCTATTTACCTTATCAAAAAATCTCGTTTTGTTACAAATGTGCGTAAATATTTGAAAATTGATATTGATATGAATTATTGTCATAAAACCAGGATATATATTCCGAAAATGGGACATGAGCTGAAATCCGGTAATTGTTTCAAAAATGAAATCAAAAATCATCAAAAACTAATTCTCACACCTTATTATTAGTTTAAAATTGACATTTATTGTTTCAATAATAAGTTTTAGACATATTTATAAATATATGAAAATTTTGTTTTACTCGTCTTGGATTTAAATAATTATACTCCTGAAAAAGATAACTTTGCAGATTTGGCCCATTTCTAACACTCAGTGTTAGAAATGGGCCAAGTATTAGTTTTGGAACTAATATCCTCTGTATTTTTATTGTAAGATACCCATATTTATAGAAAAATAGAGAAATATGCTTTGACTGTGAGATTTCTAATTTGATTTGTATTCCTATTCTGTAGTGTGTTTACCAATATTCTTACTCACAATTATTATTTATTATTATTGAACATCTGTTCAATGTTCATCCTTATTTGTTCTACAAAATTAAATGGTTATCAATTATGATGCTTAAACAGTTTTTAGTTTGGGAAGTAAAGAAACATTTCTATATTTGATAAATTATAAAAGTAAGGTTTGAAAATTTAAATAACAATATGGCTGAGTTTGTAATAGGAAAATTTGGATTTTTAATAATAAATTTTTTTTTAGTTTTGACCAAGGAAAGTAAGAAAAGTAAAAAAATACTAGAACCCATGGGTTTACTAAAAAATGTCAGCCCCTTCGGTCCAACCATTCAGCCGGCTATAGGGAACATATGTACGAATGTCTTGTTAAAGAGTATAAGAAATGCAAGAAATATAAGAAATGTAAAAAAGAGTGGAAAAGAGTAAAAATATGTAAGTAAAGTTAGTGAAAATCTAGTTGAATCCTAATGTATATAATTCCCATTTCAGTAATTGAATCATATATTTCACAAGAAAATGGTAATACACAGAAAAATAAAGAATTTTTTTAAAAAGAAAAATAGGAAAAACATAATTTTCTACAGAAAAAGTTCGACTAATTTCTTAATTAATACAATTAATTTTGA